CGTGCGAGCGCAGACACCTGGCGGGCGCGCGGACCCATAGCGCGTTGGACCGTCTCCGTCGGCTGTCCTCCAGGACCCACACACCGTCACGACCACACCACCACCACCACTACCCCCGGCGACCACACGGTTAGAAAGCAGAGTACCGTGTGTGGGCGTGTTTAGGGATGTGTGTGAAGGAAAAGTCCAATGATGCGCCATGACAACAAACATACCAGGGTGGCTGATTCTCGCCGCGCACTTTCGTAGTTATACTGCACCGCATGCACGCGTGCGGGCGGGTTTGCCTATGCTCGCTGCGCACGGCTCCGTATAGCCCCCGTGCGAGTAGGCAACTCTCCCGCACGCGTGCATGCGGTACAGTATAACTACGAAAGTGCGCGGCGTAAATCAGCCACCTGGTATTATCTTGGTCTTCCCTCTCTCTGTCTGGAGCGCACAGCCCGCACAGCGCAGCCCGCTTCACAGCTGACATTTTCCGCATTTTTAAAGCCGCTCTTACATACGTTTGTGAAGTCGGCGAAACGTGACAGCACAGCACGACGTTCTCGTCTGTTGTGACCATGATAAATATTGAACTTCTATGTGGCGTCAACATTTACAAGTTGGGGTTGGGGTAACTTTATGGCGTCCCTCCACTATCCACTTATTTTAGAGGGGACTGTGAAAAATGACCCAACATCCTTGTTAACTGTGGACGTCTCCTCGACGGGAACACCTTGACGTGCACATCCCCCGAGCCAGCCGCCCTGCACCAACTCTACACTCGCGCGAGGACTAACATGCTGGCCGTGGGGGAGCGCGTGTGCGGCCAGTGTTTCGTCGGGGAGATTACGGAGAGCGGCGGCGCCACTGGCGTGTGGAGAAGAGCGAAGCGCCAGAGCAGCACAGTACAGTCTCCACAATAAACACGACAAGACAAAATGAAAATGCCACGCCCGAACGAGTGCCGACAAATCGCGTTAGGGACGCCCACACCCTCCCACTCCCAATCCACCGCCCCGCGCCCCAAATGCCACCGCAAAACCGATCCCCCTCCCCCTCACCTCCTTCCCCCTTTCCCCTACCAAAGTTGGGGTGCTTTCACACGCCTCATATCACAGCCAGACGGCAGAAATCACAACAATGGTGAGGATTTGATCTCCCTCTCTCCTTCCATTCCCCTCTTCTCCTCTCCTCCCCCTCTTCTCCCTTCTTGCCCCCTTTTCCGTCCTCTTTCTTACTCTTGCTCCCCCGTTCTCACCTAACACCCCACTGTTTTCACGAAACGGTGGTCACATTGGTTTTAAGGGGTGTAGATGAGCCACTCCCGTTTTCAAACGGGCACTTCCTTTTTCTCATCCCTCAAACTTACACTAACTCGCAATTTTAAAACAAACAAACAAAAATAAAATAAACACAATAAAATCAGAATCAAAACGGACCTAGTTTTTGTACGGGTGTGGTACTTTTCTGGTGCGTACTTGCATTATTGCATTGTTTTTTGTATCGGTGGGGTACTTTTTAGCAGATGACACATTTCTACAATTTACACAACTGAAACTTTCAGTTGTGTAAATTTTATAAATGCATCATCTGCTCTGCTACTCAAAAACTCACAAATTTTCCTTAGAGCCAATAACTGAACATTTCTATTTTTAAATTGTTAAATCTCATTAAGATGCAATGCTTCAGACACACGTTTCACACAGGAAAAATAAATGGTAAAAACGGTATACAAACGACGAGTAGTGACTTACGGGTAACGAAGATATCAATAGTTGCAGTTCGACACACACCACAGTCTCGTGCAATGGGGTAGCTTAAGTCTTCCCCACGCACACGTAGTGGATTGAGGTGTCGGTCCACTGGAAGGGGAAGGAGCCGCGCACGCGCACAGCAGCGCACACCGGGCAGGACTCTTGCTCGTCGGCGGCGTGAATGCCGAACACGATGGAGTGCTCGGAGTGTGGCTTGGCATCGCAGATGCTGCAGAACCCATCAGCTCGGGCGAATTCGCCCAAGCCATCAGGCTGCTCCAGGGGATGCGCATCAGCATGCACGTGCAGCGACACCGACGTCGGGGCGCGGCGCACCAAGTTCGGGAGATCCGAGCGGAGCTCGGATGCTGCGGACAAGAAGACGGCACAAGTTCTAAAGTTCCGAATCGACTCCGGAAATGATGGGGCGGGGCTGGAACTCGAGCGAGAAGGGCGACTCACTCGTAAAACCGGGGCTGAGCAGGTCCTCGAAAAGGAGCAGGCTCTCACAGAGGCTGGGGCCGGCGCCAGCGAACAAGTCGCGTAGCACATCGGGCTTGCGCGGCGGTGCAACAGTCAGGGTCAGCGAGGCCAGGCTGGGCAGGGCGGGCAGCGCCGCGGCCAGGGCGCGCAGGCCGGACTCCTCTAGGACGCGCAGGTTGAGGTGCGTCAGGCTGCGCAGGGCGCCCGCGCCCAGGGCGCGCATCAGCGTCGCCTCCTCCTCGCGGCACGCCAGGCACGACGGTAGCGTCAGCTTGAGCAGCGGCCCGCTCCACGTCCTCAGCGCGTCCGCCATCTGAGAACGAGAGTGGGCTGAGTAACTTACCCTACTGGCCATCAGGAGAAAAAGCGTCGCTGAGTATACCTCGGCGATGTTGGCATGGCAGTAAACTCCGACGAACTTGAGCTCCTGCAGTTCGCCCAGCCGCCGCAGCTTGGCGGCCATCCCCGGGGCTGCCGAGACGGTCAGGCTCTGTAGGCCAGCGGGGCAGGAGTCCAGGAGCGGCATCACAGCTGGCGAGGTCAGCTGGGCGCAGCGCAGCTCACTGCAAGCACATATGCATGACAACCACCGGCGAGCTTTCGTATGGCTTGGTCCTGGGACAAGCGGACTCACCCGTGAGCTCCCAGTAGAAGTGCCCCCAAGCAGGAGGGCTCCTGGCAAGCCTGGGAGTCGTCGTATGGAGCTACCCATATGTCCGGGTACTCGTGGTCAAAAAAGGACACATCAATAGAGCGCAATTTCGGCAGAGCCTGCCAACAGGGAGAACAGAGTCGCGTGGTAGGGAAGGCCCGACGACCCGTCGCTCACCACCTATGGGACGGCGGAGCGTTGGGGGGGGGG